TCCATCATTTTCAATAATTATAATTTCTATGTAAAAAAAGGATGAAAATTCATTTATATGAACCTTGACTAAGACTAATAAAAGCAAAACTCTGATCATGTCTATTTTGTTCGTCGATTCGTCATTGTCATGTTTGTTTTTTTTCTTTTCGATGACGATTGTATTACGTAGATATTTTTTTCTGAGGGGAAAAAACCTAATACATCATATTGCAAAAATACTACACAATCATCGAAAAAAATTTCACATTGGAGATTACCTGTATTTTATAGAATGATTTTATGGTTTTAGATTTTTATTTTCGTTTTCGAAGCAATCTTGTCTAAACATGACAAATATAAAAACGTCATTAGAAAAAAGAAGTAAGTGTAAAATTCCAAAAAACGTTTATTCGATCATCAGGATTATTCACCGTGTCGATTCTACACAAAAAAGCTCATATTATTAATGTTGTTATTGACTTATATATATAGTCCACGGAAATTTTATTTTCCTTCTTCAATTTTTTTCGTTTTTTTATCTATTAACCTACTATATATAGGAAGAAAGTCCGGAACGCGCTGCATCTTTTGGGTATATTTACATTGAACATCAAATGCAGTTCAAAATGGAAACAGTGTATTAAAAAAAGAAGTGACATTTTTTATTTCGCATATATTTCGCCTTAGGTAAATGATAAAGCCTTGAATTTGTTTTTCCAAAAGATGCACCGTGGAAAGCTCTACAAAAGCTGTACTAACAGAATTTTTTTTACCTGTTCTAGTAGCTTTTCTTATACTCACAATAAACAGCTTATATGGCAGTATCACTGCCGATCATACTGAAAATTTTGAAATATTTTCATTCTCCATATATCTCGATTTAAGAAAATAATGGAATATTAAATTTTTCTTAATAGATGTGCTATCGAAAGCTCTAAAACATTTGCATGGACCAACCCGATCGTGAATCAGAAAAGACTTCGAAATATTTAAAGTATGATGGAAAGCAACATTACTATCGACACTAACATGTAAGTTGTTCATTTTGAGTATTAAAAAAAGTTTAGAACAGGTAAAAAAAGAAATTCGATCATACAGCTTTTGTAGAGCTTTTCACGACGCATCTTTTGAAAAAAAATTCAAGATTTTATCATTTACCTAAGTCGAGATATATGCGAAATAAAAAAATGTTACAACATTATGAATACCCGTTTTTGTAAAGGAAAAAATGTCACTCCTTTTTTAAATACACTGTTTACATTTCGAACTGCATTTGATATTCAATGTAAATATAGTAAAAGATGCAGCGCGTTCTGGGCTATCTTCCTATGTATAGTAGGTTAATAAATACAAAACGTATTGTAATAAAGAAACATGAATTTTCGTAGACTGTATATATAAATTTAGATACAGAAATTAAGTAAGACAGTCATTTCATATTCGTCGTGTATCTTCCGTTAATTTTTATTCTAAAATGATAATATTTGTAAACCACAGGTAAAGAGACTATCGAATAGTGAAAATATGAATGAGGTAAGTACATTGACAATAGAAGTATACAAAACACGTCATTTAATAAGATAGATAGTCAATCATAAAACAAGCGAAGGGAAACGAAAATTTATATGCTTTAGGGGTAATCAGTAGCATACTAACAGTAAGTGAGATGAGGCTCGCTGCTCGTCTAGATTTCTGTATACACGTATATATATAGCGATGGTGAAAAAGAAAAATGGATTATGAAAATGATTAGTATAATGCAACGTATGAATATTCAATAAGAAAAGCAACATGGAATTTATTAGTTTAATTAGTTGTTTTTATTTTCAGATATAGACGAATCATTTTTAGAGAATAATTTTTTCTTATAAACATATATGAATCTGATAAAGTTATTTCGAAAACATAAGAAAGGAAATGATACTTCCTCTTGTAAATCTATCGATGAAAACTCTAATATACAGCCGGAACCAAAGCGAATTTTTCCTGGTATAAAACCTATTGATCCCGATGCTCCAGCGTAAGTATAAAAAGCGTTCTTAACTATATAATTTTTTTTAATTAAAAATTAATTGAATATGTTTATATAGACCAGCAGATATTTCGGAAAAATATCGTCAATTTTCATTTCCAACACGTCGTAATGATATAACAGATGAATATGATATATCAGATGAATTATTAGGTGCTGGTAAGAATGGTGCAGTCTTGGCATGTTGGCATCGTGCAACCAATCGTAAATGCGCTCTTAAAGTAAATTCGTTTGAATCTGTGCTTTTTCTTTTTTACTTCAAAATAATTTTATTTTTAATTTAGGTAATAAAAGATTCAGATAGAGCACGACGTGAAGTTATTTTACATAAAAAAGCTTGTGAAGGATGTGATCATATTGTTCAAATACTCGATGTTTATGTATGTAAAAGATTTTTTTTTATTCGAAAATTTTCGACATTCATTTATTTTTTAATATAGGAAAATATGTTTGAATCAAAGCGATGCTTATATGTTATTATGGAATGGTATATATAAATTCATGTTTTTTATTTGTTGATTTGAGTTTTTTTTTTTTTCTATCTAGTATGGAAGGTGGAGACTTATATCATCGTCTTCGAAGTAGAATTGACAAATCATATACAGAACGTGAAGCAGCTAAAATTATTTCAATGGTGACTAAAGCTGTTGCACATTTACATCATATGGATATAGTAAAGAAAGATTTTATTTTTGTATTTTTTGAATATAAATTTTGATTATTTTTATTTAGGCTCATCGTAAGTAGTTTTAGTTTTTCGAAAAATAAAATCGAATGAATATTTTCAATAGGTGATCTCAAACCTGAAAATTTACTCTTTACAAATACTTCTAAAGATGCTTTGCTTAAATTAACAGATTTTGGTTTTGCTAAAGAAGGTAAAATAATAAAAAAGAAAAGAATTATGATGAATTTTATTTATCTTTTTCTTTTTTATGGTATAGGAAATAATGAAAAATCTCCATTGATTACACCATGGTAAGATAAGAAAAATATTCTTTTACATTTAAGCATTTTATCTAGTAAAACTTGATATTTTAAAGATCATTATCATAAATTCTAATTAGTCTAACTGTTTACAATGATCTGAAATGATTTTGTTCAAAAGTTTGAAGTTTCGTTCTCTTTTTTTTCTTTATAGTTATACTCTACATTATGCTCCACCAGAAATCTTGTCCCATCATAAATATAATAAAGTAAAAAAAAAAGAAAAAGATCAAAATGATTTCTTTGTTATTCATTTAATATAATTTTCTTATATTTAAAGGCATGCGATATTTGGTCAATGGGTGTTATAATGTATATTCTTTTATGTGGTTATCCACCATTTTATGCTGCTCATCGTGGTATGATTGGTATCCACAAAATGAAATCAAAAATCAAAGCTGGCAAATATAAATTTCCAAAAGCTGAATGGAACAAGATTTCACAAGAAGCTAAATTAGTTGTACAAAAAATGCTAATAGTTGATCCATCTGCACGTGTTACTATCGATTGGATTCTTCAATGTTCATGGTTAGTTGGTACAGTACCTGAAACATCAATTGATATTAGTCCAATGCTTAATTTTGAACATTATGAACAAACGCGAGTATGTAAAAAAACAAATTTTTTTTTTAAAATTTTCATATTTAATTCTTCTTTTTTCTTCATTTATTTTAGATTGAAAGTAAGTTGGTTTTAATTAATTTTAATCTTTTATTTTATTTTATTTTTATTATTCATCTATAGTTGCTACTGCAAATGATGCTCAACGTCGTTGTCTAGTTGATGGTGATGATGATGATGATGATTCAAATATAAATCTTCCTACATGTGATAGGTCACGTGTAGCAAAACGAGCTGCTAAACGAGAACGAAAATGTGCTACTACAAATAGTGCACCACAATTATCACAAATTAATGAACGGGAAATAATTAGTTTTTTTTAAATACATAATAATTTTCTTTTTTGTTTTTCTCATCGATGTTCTTATAAAATAAGCTTTTTCGTCGTGAAGTTTGTAATGAAACTCTTTCATATGATTCACTTCTTTGTTCGTCTGTTCATTGTGTTGATTGGATCAAACAATGCGTGTGTTTTCGTCGAAATTATTTGAAATATCAACTATTGTCCATTTCAGAGTAAAGTGGACGTGGGCATATTTTGAATAGTTTTAAAACAACAAGGGAGAAATAATTCGGGTTTTTAGCACTATCTAGAGTCGACATTACTCTATCTTTTTGCAAAGTCAATGAAAAATCTCAGTCATTTTTCTCCTTGGATACATCCTACACTTTGTAAACGAGCTTAATCTGTCATGAAAACAAAACGCTTTCTCAATTATAATATAATGGACAGATAGCCCAGCTTCTCTTCTATCGATCCACACAAGGCCGTGATTAATACCTGCTTGCGTTCAAAAAATATAAAGATTTTATTGAAGGCTACTAACCAAATTTTTTCAAAATCCGAGTAGCTAACTAAATATTTTCTTCTATAAGTTCTTAGTTGCCTTAAACTTCATGGCACCATTTAGTAACCTTCGAAGGTTTTTGACTATTAGAAATGTGATCAAAAACTATATATTGAATTTATTTTGATAATAATGAATGAATATCTTAAGTTAGTTCAGTTAATAACCTATGATGTAATAGTGCGTACCGGAATAATTTCATTGAATATGATTCTATTACACAAGTAGTACAGATCACTATGTGAATAAATTACATATTGTTTTCTGATAAACTAACCTGTTTTTGAATTGATCTGCACCTGTCTTGATATGTAGGTAGCATTGACTTTGATTTACTTTGAAGCAATATTACAAGATCCACATACTCTTAAACAGACAACCAGAGACCAACCTCGAGCGGCAAGAAAATAATGTAGAGAAACACAACTGTAGAGGATCATAATAAAACGCAATGATAGAAGCGAACCACCATTCTGTATCGATAAATAATGTTGTGAATTATAATATTTTTTTTTCAGATTGAATACAATAATGCCGACAGGTCACTATTATAGTCAAGAAACAAAAGAATTAATATTCAATGTAATTCAATTTATTGAAGGGGAGAAAAATGGACCAAAAATACCATTATATAATGTCAATGATCGTATAGTGGCTGCACTTCAAATATCGCATGGTTCAATGGCGAAATTGAAAAATGAAATGAAACAGCTACAAGAAGAGCAACAAATGGATCTGGAACATAAGTTACTTGAACAACAACAACAACAACAACAACCATATGTACTTGCACAAAAATATAAAACTGAGCGTTTGCGTCCACGATCATCATCACCATTTATAACACCAAAAAATGATCATTTTACAAGTATGGATACTCCTCGTGCAGTTGCGAAATCGCCGTTAAAACATGGTGGCGGAGCTAGTTTGAAAATTTCTTTAACTGAATATGAAGAAGATTTGATAAGGCAAGTTTCTACTGATTCATCTTTTCCATCTCAATAGTTGATCTCAATTGTTTAGATATTATTTTCATCTGATGTTGTCTGAAAAAATATATCCAAATACGAGCAAATTGCTTACTCGCATTCGCACCGACAATCTAGACCTTCCAGTGAAAAGTATCACGTCACTATGGAGAGTGATGAAGAAACTTGGATTCTCATACAAAAGAATAAGCAAAATACGTGTACCAATGGATTCTATAATGCTTATGGTACAAAGAGCCTCGTATTTTCGAAAGTTAGATGAAATTCGTCGGAATGGAACATTGATATATTATCAGTAACTACCAATTGTTCTTTGCGTTTTCAAGTACTCTGTTTCGTTTAGTGATGAAACATGGATCAATTGTGGAGAGGAAAAACGAGTCATCTGGGTTGATAAGCATGGTAAAGGGAGAATACGCACAAATCATGAAAAGAGTAAACTTCCTTTTACAAAACATATGTTGAAGGTTTTATTCGAAAATGGAAAACTGGAAAACTACACGAAGAATATTCAGTAGCTCCTGTGTCGTCGACTTTTCGACCAATAACACGGTCTTGACCGGGCTTTACTTTTTGCATGTTGAGGTATGGACAATTACCTCCTTGGGAGCTCTTGCAAAGCCGTACTTTTTGCGTCTAACTAGATTTTTTTCATACTACAACCAGTTGAACGAGAATTTGTTTTCTTTTGATACGTTTTCACAAGAATTATCATATTTTGAATCACAGTTTCGCACAACTTCAAAAAACTCTGAGATTTATTGAAAAACAAATTCTTTTGGGATAGAATTTATTTTATTTTACAGAATAATTGTATGTCTGTTATATCCTGATACAAGATGTTAAATAGCGTTGTTCCTTTCAATAAGCCATGTGAAAGAAGAGAATGAATCTTCATGTCGTCTCGTTGAATTTCAATAAAGTTCTCCTTCGTATTATAAGGCTACCCATGTAAATATTTTTTGCCTCAAAACGCGTCTGAAACGCGTTTCATTTGCGTGCGAAACGCTAAGAGTGAACGCGTTTGAACGCGTCCCCAGTGAAACAAACGGAGCGTTTAAACGCGATTTATTTTAGAAACGCGTGTGAATGCGCTTCTAGCTTGACTTGCGTTCAAACGCATTTTTAGCGAAAACGCGTCCCAGATGAAACATTTAATGCGTCTGGACGCGTTTCATAAAAAAACTAAAAATTTTGAAAAAAAAAATGATAATTCATTTCAGATTCGAACTGAGTCGCCACCATCAATATTTTTTGATGGTCTTAGCCTTCCCTGGCAAATGGATTAGATTTTACCTTAAGCGACGACGATCAGATTTGAACAGATGAACCAGTGATTAGAAGTCGTTCATACATACCGCTGAGTTATACTAACTCGAAATCTTGTCTTATTCAAAATAAAATATATTTGAAGACGAATTTCATCGGTTAAATACTTTGTTTTAACAAGGTGTATTTTTTTTGAATTCAAGAGTCTTAACACGTAAGATGACTTTTCAGTTATTTTTTTAAATTATTTTTTTATTTTTTTAATAAAATAACATCTTTTTTTTATCATCTACTACACATAAAAAATATTACGATCTTTTTTATTGCACTGGTAATATGATAAATAATTTTATCGAAAAATTTAATGAATAGATAATTATTGACAACCAATTTAGTAGAAATATATGATGAAAAGTTACTAATAATATTATTTAAATAGTAGTATTTAACAATATTCTGAAAGGGCATTGCATAGCTGGAAACTATTACAATATTATCTAACTATTTTTCTTACAAACTTCAGAGAAATATGGGCTGTTCACCGTATGTTTAATTGAATTTTGTCTATTTTAACGTCATCTCGACATTCTTTATTAGAAGTCTAATGAAGTTTAGATGAATAAAATACATGTAAGCTGATGATTTTGATTATGCAGTTAACTCTTCTAGAGCAGCAATTTTTGGGTAAAATCGCGTCCGATACACAAAAAATAAACACTTTCAAAGGCACTCGAAAATATGATTGCGTCCTAACGCGAGCGAAAAACATATTTAAGACACGTTTGAACGCAGTTCGTAAACAAAATTTTTTTAAACGCATTAAATTTTTTTCAGAAACGTGTTGAAACGCGGTTCATTTTTTTCTGATTGCGTTTAAACGCCTTGTATAGAAAACCTGCGTCCAGACGCGTTTCAAATTTTTTTCTAACTGCGTCTCAACGCTTCTCATATTATACCACGTTTGAACGCGTTCAGTCAAACTCTTATTAAACACGTACAAACGCAATTTCAATATGAAACGCGTTGAGACGCGGTTCATAGTTTTTTTTACAATTGCGTTTCAACACGTTGCATACAAAAACTGCGTTCATACGCGTTTCAAAAGTTTTCTAACTGCGTCTCAACGCGTTTCATATTAAAAATGCATTTGAATGCGTTGTGAAACCGTTTTTAACTGCGTCTAGACACCTTTTGTTGTGAAACCGCGTTTCAACGCATCGATCTTGCGTTTCGTGATTACATGGGTAGGTATAGACGAAACGTTTTGCATACCATGAGAAAGAGCGTACGTGACAGCTTCAGAAAAACTCGTTATGATGTGTTTTGACAAATTTATAAGCGTTCAAAATCATCTTTTAGATGTGCTGAAAAGTACTTTGAAAAGTTGAAGACTTTCGATTTTTGTAATCTTTTTTGTGTAGTTTTCCACTTGTGTATTTTGGAATAAAATCCTCAACATATTTTTTGTAGAAAATTTCAAGGCGCATCTTTTGGAAAAACAATCAGATCTAACCATTGAAAATAAAAAAAGTTATAGTGAAAATACGAAGAGGCTAATTTATTATGGGACACCCGTTATTCTCAGTCTGTGTTTAATAATTTGCCTTTTTTGTACAGGTCATCGGTCGTTCTTGTTGCTATTAATAAATCCCAACGACCAGTTCAGCTATCTTCCTTAATGACTTCTCTTCCAGCTGGTCTGCATCAAAATCGTCTTGACGATACGCTCCATTCACGTAATTGGATCAATATTAGTCCAACTGGTTCCATTACCTATAGTCTCTTTCTTAATGATCAATCATCTGCTATTTGATCCTATAATGGTGTTCAACTGCCTCCTCGACCTATGCTCGGTAGTGTTGCGCCATTTCAAGTTCGATCTGGCAATAAAATTGCTCTTCATGGTTCTAATTTTGCTACAGTAAAACGAGATGGCCAAGCACATTTCGGTGATAGATCTGCTCCCATTATCAGTTAGTCGAATACTCGTATTGTAGCCACTGTTCCATCTGCTGCTTCACCCGACATTACTGACATCACTGTTCGTACATCTAATTCTACCTCTAATCCGCACTCAATTCGTATTCTATCAGGTATTCAGATACTTGTTACATTCACGTACAACAATATATTCATTAACAATCCGTATACTGAAAATATCTATCTAACAGGCAATGTACTTGAATTAGGTCAATGGTCAACAGATCCTAAAATAGCTCAAGGGCCTATGTATCATAGCAATAATAATGGTACTAATTCGATGAAATGGTTCTTTACAGTGAGCTTGCTCAGTTATCAAACAGTAGAATTTCGCTATTTTATTATGAACAATCAAACGAACAATGTCGAATAGGAGCCAATCAATATTCATCATCAATACATGGTACCATGCGCTGGTCTCGGCCAAGTCAACGTTCTAGTTAATCAGTGAAACTAGGAACATGCTCTAGATAGTTTTAAACTTTTTGTTTATTTTGTTTGACTTGTTAAAAACAAGAAAAGGCCAAGAACAGACACAACAACGAGAAAATAGAGATTGATGATATGCTGGAATAAGGGGGGATATAATAATTGAATAAGGTAAGTAAATGTCGTCTACAACAATATCGAATGGGTTGCACAATATTATGAAGGATTAAAATTGGATTTAACGAAATGATCAAACCATAGTATGGGGACGAAGGGTGAGTAGAACGGATTAGCATCAAAATAACGACACAGACTAGGGTAACGACGACTTTCAAATAAAGAAAAAAGAAAACAACAGCAGATTTCAGCACGAGAGAAGTACAATACTCATTAAAAAAAGAAGATACATCGAGAACATGATTACAAAACACGACAAACCAAATAAAGGATTCTCCGGTGAATTGTTACGAAATTTGAAAACAAAAATCTACACTTCTCTGCAACAATGAGTCTTTTCGCTGAACTTTTGACGATCCAATTCTTTGCAATAGCAATAAGCTTGTGTTTGAAGTGATAAATACACATTTTCAATATGTCGTTTTCTTTTTTCATCGATGCAATAATAATGTTTTACGATATTCTCTATGTCGTCTTCTTCATTAGTTCTTTTTTTTCCTCTTCTACTTTGATTCTTGCTGTTTTATTTTAGCATAATTGAGCAATGAAAAAAAAAGATTTCATTTATCGTTTGGAATCGAACGGGTAATCAACATGATATTATGAATTCTTGTACTATATTAGGTGGATATTCGATCTATGCATACATATTTGTGATCAGCATTCGATGTGCTATAAGACTAGCTGGAAATTATTTGGTTATCTGATGAAAAGTTTTTCTCGAAATTGCTGTACCTCCCCCTTCCAGGGATCTGGAGGGCTCGAAAGTTTGTTGTGAAGCTTCGAAAGAAATAAGTGACCTATTCGACTTATGATCATCCCCTAATGCACAGTAGCTAGATACTTTTGATATAGTGTGAGATTGATAATGATACATCTTTGATGTTTACATGGGTCGGTATCATGACCCTTCCAATCGACTTCTTGAGTTGGGGTGAACCGCACATATCACATCTTGTAGAGCAAGTTCTCCTCTATCAAAACCATATATCAGCCACATTCCCAAGTATCCGCTTACGAAAACCGCGATCAACCACTTTTCAGTCAACAGTCGAGTGAAGCGATGACTCATTGGGGCAAACTTTTTCTCAAATATGATTTTCTGCCACGCTGAGTTTGAATATCGTATCAGAATCAGTGCTTGACTTCAAGGTCGAAAAA